TTCAGCCGGGACCCAGAATGTGGGTCATTCTCATCAAATCCATTTGACCAAGAGCAACACCCAGCCTAGATGAGCCCCGTCAGCCAAGCTGCAGAGGCCTGAATAAGAGGTGCTCATTGCCCCGTGCCACCAGGTTTTATGGGTGCGTGGAATGCTGCAGTAACTATTATCCCCCATCTTTCCCAACATCGCAGCCATCAGTGTTGATGATGGGAAACAAAATACAGCATATCCCTCAGCTCTCACCAGGACTAGGGCAATAGTGTCCCAATTAGTCTTCCACTGCCTGCCACTGCCACTGCCACTCAACAGTCCCAGTCCACCTGCCGCCACCCCCCATTGGTGAGTGGCTAGGGGGCTGAGGGGAGGAGGGTGACTGAGAGGTGCTCCATGCACTTCATGGTGACCGGTCATTTGTTCCATCATGATGGCACCTGGCTTTTTATATTTTAGGATTAAATACATATTTGCAATACATGTACCTTTTCTTTGTATTCTTACAACTGTCATTATAGCATACATTTGTTTATTAGTTATCAGTTTTCTCCCTTTGGAACAGAAATTTCTCTTCTTTTCTGCTGAATTCCCATAGCATAGAAATGAGGCTAGTGCCTGTGAACAAAGTCCTTCAATAAGTGAATAAACTGTGGTATATCCATACTCAGCAATAAAAAGGAACAAATTACTATAGATTACACAGCAACAAAAATCATCTAAAATCCATTTTGCTAAATGAGAGAAGCCAGACACATAAAGTTATATATTGTATGATTCCCTTTTTAGGACATTCTAGAAAAAATAAAAACAAAAGGATGAAAACTATGGGTGTTACTTTTCTGTATCATGATTATGCTGTTGGATATAGTATTTTAGGCATTTGTCAAAAGTTATAGCTCTGTACACCAAAAGAGTGAGTTTTATTATAAATAAAAGCATTTCTGGATTTTCCTAAAATTATACTTAACTTACAGTCTGATAGGGCAACTGTTGACTAGAGAGAGCTTCAGCAGCCCCTTTTTAGATGTGCCAGACACTCTCCAGTTCACCATAGGCCTAACCACACCCTATGTCTCCCACCTGGCCCACTTCCCTCATTTAGGTTTTGTGTCAGGCCCCTTAGGCATTTGAATTTGAGACTCTTGCCTTTTGAAGATAGCGTAATTGTAGTGCCAATACCCCTAGTAAAGATCAGGAGCCTACACTGTTCCAGCAACCTTGGATTTTCTAGAGCAATCCCAATTTCATCAAATATGATTATTTTTATTAAGATGATTCTTTAAATTCATAAATAATCTTATATTTTTAAACTGTTTTATAAAATTACAGTTAGAAATTGTATTAATTACTTGGCACACACTCTATTGGTTTTGGTTTAGAAAGTCTGTCCCTTTTGTTGGTTGTATTTTTTTTTCTTTTACCCACAAATCCCTTTAATATCTTCTCTAGACAGCTCTGTGCTGTTGGAGGCTGACCCTTTGGGCTGCATCTCCCGTGATACTTTCTGGTGGGCATCCATTGGGCTTGGTTAATGGGAGCCATTGCAGGTCACATTATATCAGAGGGAAGGAGAAAGTGAGAGTGAAATATTTCTTCCCCCTCCCTCCCTATTTCATATGTTTCTGGCTGTGCCTACTTCCTTCGTTACTATGGCTCACAGGGGACAGCAGCTCCTCCACACTGAACTTCAGTCACCGTGTCCATTCAGGCTTACAGATAGTGCCAGCTTTCTTCCATTGCTGCTTCTGCAAACTTCACCTTCAGGCATAGCCCCTACATTTAAGCCCCATTATATGAAACAAGTGGGGGGGATATGTGCTGCTTCCCTCTTAGACCTTGACTGAACTACTAGCTTAACCCTAGCAGGTTTAATTTGCCAGTTAGGTCATTCCACTAGGTCAGAGGGTCTTTCTCTGCTGCACACTGAAATTACCTGGGGAACTTCAGGACAGACTGCACTAATTTCCATCCCCAGAATTTCTCATGTCATCAGGATTTAAAAATCTATCCAAGCCCTTCTCATGTGAGGCCAAGGCTGAGAAGCATTGCTCTGATTTATGTACCTCCTGTACAGAGAGATTTTCAGCATACAGTCACACCTTAACATAATGGACTAATTCAGGTGAGGGCATGTCTGTTAATGCTGAAAGTATGTTATATGGTAAAAGTAGGTTTTCCAAATGCATATGTTAAAATTTTTTTTTCAATATATTTTATTGATTTTCCACAAAGAGAAAGGGAGAGGGATAGAGAGCTAGAAACGTTGATGAGAGAGAAATACCTACCAGTTGCCTCCTGCACACCTCCTACTGGGGATGTGCCCGCAACCAATGTACATGCCCTTGACTGGAATCGAACCTGAGACCTTTCAGTCTGCAGACTGACGCTCTACCACTGAGCCAAACCGGTTTCGGCCATATGTTAAAAAATTGACAAATTAGTTTGCTTACCTGCTTTTACTTATGTAGACACATTTGTGTAATTAAAATTAAGTATGGATGAAAAGTTTAATTTCACAAAGTTTTCTATGTGTATTACTATAATTTTAAATTTATACTGAATAGACCTAGTAAATGTGTGCATTCTCCAATTACCATGAGTAAACTAAAGTACATAAACTAAAGCTGAAACATGGCATCAGCTAGTATGCATTAAAACTGCTGCGGAAAGTTACTCTGAGCAACAACAGAACCAATTACCACAGGTGCTGTGGTGTGACCACATGCTAATCATTCACTGAACAGTGTTTACAAGTGGTGACTCTTGGGTTTAAATATGTAGACGGTAGTTGAAGATATGTAATATTTACTTTTGTCAATGAAATAACTACAGTGTTTTTTCCAACATATGGCCCATTTGCTAAAATTTGTTAAAAATAAGTGAATAACAAAAAAATAACCTGTTTATTGTAAGCAAATGTTGGTTAAAAGCATTTTAAAATTAACAGGGTCTTAATTTTCACATATGACATACAGACCATTTTGTCCATTAAATCTGAAGTCCAAAGTCTATTAAATCAAGATCTAAAAAATTGAGGGTTTACTGTATAATTAACATTCAACCATACAGTTGACTCTTGAGCAATATGGATTTAAACTTTGTACATCAACTTATATGATTTTTTCAATTTATCCTCACAGTTCAACCTATTCAAGGGTCAGCTGGTGGTTGAGAATCCACATATGCAATGAACTGCCTTAAGTTCTATGCAAATTTTCACCTGGGTGGGCAGTTGGTACCCCTAAACCCCCACATTGTTCAAGGGTCAATTGTATATGATCCATTGTGATGTATTTATTGATTACAAAATATTGTTGTCTTTAGTTAAAAGTAATGTTACTTTTCTACTCATTCATGAAAGCATTTTTAAACAAAATACAAGTTTAAAGACTTATTCTTCCACTAGGGACCCAGTGCATGAATTCGTGCACCTTGAAAGGAACTGTAGGCTGCGAGGCTGCAGTGAGCCCAGAGGCTGGTCTTGGCCCATCCTCTGTGCTCCTGCCTGGCCCCTCCCACCACCACCACCCCTTCCCCCATCCCCTTTCTAGCAGCAGCCCCACTCCCACCAGTGCTGCTCCCATGTGTTGAGGCACTGGCCTTGCTTGCACCTACTGACGGCACAGAGCAATTGGGGGTGGCACCAGCAGTGGGTGCAAGTAGTGGCTACTAGCCTCAATTGCCCCTCAGGAGCAGGGGGATGTGTAGAAGCCTGGAGGGGTGATTTGGGTGCAAGTAGGGCTGGTGCCAGCAGCAGGCATGAACACTGGGTGGGACCGCAGCACACAGGAGCGAAGAACTTTCAGTAACTGCCAGAAGCTCACCCTGACGACAGCGACAGGCACTTCACCTTGGTCTAATGCCCCACTCACCTGCTCCATCATCCCCTGCTATATTCTGCTCTCTGCTGCTGACACCTGCCATGTTCCATGTGCACCTCTTGGTGGTCATCACACATCAAAGCGACCGGTTGTTCAGTTGTTCGGTTGTTTAGTCATACCGTCTATTTGCGTATTAGGGTTATATACATATAGATTGAAAGACTTAAAAGATATAGGCTCTGATATTAGTTATAATATAAAACCCAATCATAAGTTATTTCTAGGAATACACAGAGACAGTTTCAAAGCAAGATTGGAAATTAAAAGCTATGTACACATATAATACCTTAATAAAAAAAAAGACTGGAAATTAAGGCAAAGCAAACATATACTAAGAAAATACAAAGGGAAAAATATAAAGTCAGCATTAATATCAACTAAACTGTAACTCAAGGACAAAAACATTAACAAGGTGAAAGAGGAAAAATGTAATGAGAAAAAATTAATCAATGAACAAGTTGTGTATAAGTCATAAACATTAATAGATAAACAATATAGCAAAATCCCAGAAATATAAGCAGATACTGATGAAAAGATTTTTACTGTGTAATGTTTTTCAGAACATTCTTTCAGAACTTGAAAGTTCAAGTATATCATTAAAGAACAGATACAAGGGGTCTGAGAAATACAATAAACTATACATTTTTTTTCTTTTCTAATATTTATGTAATATACAAATTAACTATTTGCTTGGCATAAGAGAAAACTTTGCTAAATTTCTCAAAGCAGGTTTTTTGTACTTTCAAATACAAAATTAATATTAAAAATATTTTTAATCTTGTAATTATTAGAAAATTAAGAAACCTCTTACACTTAATTTCTGTTTCAAAGAGTAAGTCTAAATTAAAATCACAAATTAAGTACCCAATAGAGAATAGGAAAACACTTTATTTTACTTTTTTTAAGCTTCAACCAAGGATATTTTTAGAAAGAACGAAGGGAGGAGGAGAGACAGAGATACAGTTAAGAGCTTTGTTGGGGGATGGGGCAGGGATTTATAGCCTTGAAAGAAAACAAAATTAGACAAAGTCATGAATATATTTGGAACAATTTGGATATTGTTTCTCCTTGATTTTTTATAAAATGGCCCCATAGGCCCTTTCATTGATTTTCAGATTTCCTTCACTTGGACTGTTTTCCTTTTCCATCTCTTTGTCAATGCGATAGTAAGAGCGAATAAAGCGATCAAGAATTTTTCTGTCTGAAATTATGAAGAAAAATAGGTTGAAAATTTCCATTTAACTACTTAAGTACTAAATAGAAAAATTCTAGGAGAGAGGCAAATATCTTATAATAGTACTCTATGTTCAAATTTGATGAAACCAAAGTAATCAAAGAATATTATGTGTAATGGCTAAAAAGGCACAGTTGTGTGATTACTGATTAACTAGAGCAAATAATATTCAAGGGATTAGCAAGTTTTTATGGAAAGAGCATGGGTTTGAGAATGAAACAGATGTAGGTTTCAGTTCTGCACTGGCAAGTATTAGCAAATCATTTGACCTCCTTTTTTATTTTCATATCTTTGAATACAGGTAAGAGTAATTACCTTACATAGGTGTGAGGATGATCAGGAATGCTGTGTGTGAGGCACCTAGCCAGTGCCTGGTCCATAAAGATATTCAATAAATACTATAGCTTTACCCTTTTATCACTGGGTTCATAGTAATACATAGGGATGATAAATAACAGAGACCATTATTCCAAAAGTTCCCTTGAAGCCAGGGCTGTTTTACTTTCCACCAATGTTGGTAGGCTTTACTTTTTTTGAGTGTTAAATGACTGTGAGAAGGCCCTTCAATTCTCATATCTGGAAAACAAAGAATCTTGCCTGGCCTGAATATCTGTGGTTCCCTAGTCTTAATTACGTATTTTTAAATAGTACAGAGTGGAGCTGTAAAACTTTGCTCAGGCCTAGCAATTGTCACCTGTGCAGCTCAAACCAGAAGAACCTAAAGAAAGGAATAATGCAGTGATCACATGTTATTATGGACAATGTTTCAAAGCCATTGAGATCTGATCTATAGATCAGATGTTTGTTTGTGTGTGCACATGTTCCTGTTTTCTCTCCAATTAGGCTTGCATTTATTTGTTTTTGTGATCTCACATTTAATTTTGAACCATCACTATCCTATCCAGACCTTTGGACCCCAACATTTTTTAAAATTGAAATCTCAACTTTTTGAAAATTTATACTTTATAAAAAGTGTAATGTACTAATATTCCAGTGGCTTGACACCTACCTATGTATAATTCACACCCATATTTTAGGATAGATCATGTCCACTGCCCCCCTCAAAAACCTATCATACTCAGTCCCAGCCAATACCTCCAGCCCCAAGATAGTTAAGATTCTAGGATCTCCTTCCTCATAGATAGGTTTTGCCTGTTTTAGACATTAGAATAAATTAAAATAATATAAAATATATTATTTGGTATCTGGCTTCTTTTGCTCAGCACACTGTTTTTGAGGTTCATAGCTGCTGTTGAATATATCAATAATTCATTCTTTATTAGCTAGTAGTACTTCATTATGTGAGTATATCACCGTTTGTTGATATGGAAATTTAGTTTGTATCCAGTTTGGGACTATCAAGCATACAATGGTTCTAAACATGTTTGTACAGGTCTTTTTGTGGGCCTTGATTTTTTTTTTTTTGGCGGGGGGTGGGCGGGGGGTGGGACGGGGAAGTAAGTATGTAGAAGTGGAATTTCTGGATCATAGAGTAGGTATATATTGAACTTTATGAGAAACTTCCATATCTGTTTCCAGAGTAATTATACTATTGTACAACTACTAGCAATGTATTGCTCCATGGTGCCAATATTGGCTACTGTCAGTCCTAATTTTTAGCCTAAAATGTCTCTATATTTTAATCTTATATCAAATAGTTGATTTTAGGAGAAGCAAAAAATATCTTTGATACCAAAGATAAGCATATAAAATGAATCAAGTTTGGCATAAATTAATAAAAAGGATGAAATTGTGTCAAATTTAATGGCAATTTAAAACTGATTAAAAAGGCTGCCAGTTGTAATCCAAATGCTATCCACATTTCTTATGCATAGATGCTGATTTAGACCCCAAGATTTTGATTATGCTGTTCCATCTTCTTAGGAATAGCCCTGCTTCTCCTTGTCACCCAATTCATCCTTGTTACACAAAGGAGGCCTCCTCTGAGCAGCCTTCCCTAACTGCTGTCAGCCCAATGGGTGGGGAGTACCCCTCACAGGCTTCTGCTGGACCTACAGAGTATTTGATTGACAAGCCATGGTAACTATGCATTGTCTCCCCCTAAGAAGGAGGGTTTATTTTTTATGTATCTTTGTAACAAGTGAGTGTTATAGGTATTCAATTAATGCTGATTGAATGAGTAAATAAATGCATTTTTAACATTACTGAATACACCTTAGGAAGAAAAACCCTTTGAATAGCCATATTCATAGAAGTTTTAATTGGAGGAACAGATGGGGATTAGGGGGAGAATCTTAGCTAAAAATTCTGAAAAGCAGATTTCTGATAATTTTGTCTTTCAAGGGGGAGTAAGTGGAGGGATGACTGTCTTTACTAATATATAACAGAGGCCCAAAGGATAAGATGCTCATGTTTGCATCACTTGAAGATTAAACCCATTTTGAGAACAGAATGGCCACTACAGACATCTAGTTCAATTTCCTCAAGTTGTAAATACAGAAACTCAATACCGAAGAGCTACACATGGAGTTAGCAGAACAAAAAGTTCACTATCAGCTGCTGCTCCTTCCTCCTTCTCAGGCTTTATTTTGCGTCTTCCTGGAGTTTTCCCAGTTCCCCGTCACCCTGCCACCTCCCCAGCCCCTGACTTAGGCCATTATGCTGATCCTTCCCCTTCTCCTCTCTCCTTCAAACTATACCTGAATGGGCTCCTGTGCTAAGAGGTATAATTCCATAAAATAACTTAGGCTGTGGTGATAAATCGGCCTAACATACCTGCCCAGTTTGCATTCTCTTGCATACCTGGTCAGCTCTGACACAAATGAGCTCTGCTGAGATATTTGCCAGCTGAAAAGTATTAGTGTCATCCCAGACAGTGGACATGTCAAGAGGTTTTGGTTTCAGAATTCAAAGGGAGCCTCCTACTTGCCTGTCAGCCTCTGGCACAGCTGGCATTGATGTATAGGCCACTCCAAAGCAAAGCTAAGAAAGAAAAACTAGAACCCACTAGAAGCAAATCTTACATGACTCAAGTCAGTGCAAAATGGCAAGGCTGCAGGGCTTGAGCATTGGGGTGCCTGTCCTCTGTGCTGTCCCAAGGGAACCAGGGAAGCAGGCCAGCTAAGAAGAAACCAATACTTAGACTGGCCCCAAAGCTACCTTGTCATGTCTCAACCATCCAGGGAGAAAAGCTCAACTGAGGACAGTGTTTCCGTGAAGGATCAGTTTACCCCAGGAAGTGGAGCAGAGGCTAATCCAAGTGGAGCAGAGGCTGCCAGAGCACTCTAAGGAGTTTTTATTCACACTCAGGACACATGGCTGAGGCTCTGATGGCAAATGATACACAGACAAGAACAGAGGGGACCTGAAGCCTGCATGGTTTCCATGTGGGCAGAGAAGGGACAGCTCCATCTGTGTCCCAAATTCTGGGCAGATGGGAGCATCTTCTTCTGGAAGACAGAGATACTCAATCTACAGGGTCAAACAGATGGTGGCTTCTATAGGTTAGTGGAACCCTGATAAAATGCAAATAATGGTTTTATACATCTGAACTAAAACTGGCGAAAGGCTCAAGAGCAGGCTTGGCCCACTGCACACATCTGCTCTGCCTCCTGGGAAGATTTGAGCAGTGGACTCTTTCTTTCAAGGAGCCCCATCCATGTCTTTCTGAGTGTCAGACTGGCCCAGAGGCATTTGTTAACAGGAATGAAGTTCCCGATGGGAAGTACAGACTTTTTTTTTTTTTAATATATTTTATTTTTAAAAAATATATTTTATTGATTTTTGTACAGAGAGGAATGGAGAGAGATAGAGAGTTAGAAACATCGATGAGAGAGAGTCATCAATCAGCTGCCTCTTGCACATCCCTTACTGGAGATATGCCCGCAACCAAGGTACATGCCCTTGACCGGAATCGAACCCAGGACCTTTCAGTCCCCAAGCCGACGCTCTATCCATTGAGCCAAACTGGTCTTGGCGGAAGTACAGACTTTTGCTTCTGCCTTAGAGCAAGGCAGGACATCTGTTGCTGGTACCTTTTTGAGACCAACACTCAAACTCTTTTAGGGACCTTTGGGAATCAGCCCTTAGTCTGTGAGGAGGGGAGGTTCCCCTAGCCCCCAGATACACACACACACACACACACACACACACACACACACACACACACAAAACAACCCAGAAAGAAGTTCACTACAGACTGATTCATATGCCTCTTAGCATAACAATTATAGCTTGTCTCACTTTTTATTCTTATAAGTATATTTCCAATAGGACATGATCTCACTCATCTGGGTGAAATGGTGAACAACATAGACTGATGACCAAGAACAGACCCAGAGATAAGGAGCCATGGGTCAGACTGTTGGACCTCAAAGGGAGGGTGGGGATAAAAGGGAGAGATCAACCAAAGGACTTACGTGCACACATATGAGCCTAACCAGTGGTCAAAGACAATAGGGGGTGGGGGCATGAGTGGGGAGGTGGGGGATTGGAATGGGGGTTGAGGACAAGTATGTAATACCTTAATCAATAAAGAAATTAATTAAAAAACACACCATATAACCAAGCACAAACACACAAGCACATTCACACACATCCCCTTTTTAGTCTTGCCTCCAGCAGGGTTTCAGTCTGGTGTGGAGCAGCAAATCCATGGATAAAAGAGTTTCATCCAGGATTTCAGAAGAAGCTCTTCTGATCATGGCTGCTGACTCAGGTGTGCTCAGCCAATAAGTGCCGAAATTGGAGACCCAAGAGAAAGTGGAAGGTTACTGAGCAGCTGGTAGAAGTTATTCTGAGTTCAAGCCTGACCACAGGACATGGAACAAGGCAGTGACTACCACTGCCCAGAACACAGGTAGGGTGAACGAGATGGTCCACTGGGTGCAAGAAGAAATACTAGAACTTCTATTATGTTTGTTCTTATTTTCTCCTTCCACATTTTTCCCCCGATTTATAATATACATAATACATTAGTTTAGTGGTATATGTATACATTTTAAATAAATATACATGTCTTCATTGGATATGTGCTTAAAAATGAGGAGTAATAGGGCATCAACATTAGCATTGGGTGCTGAGAGGCAGCTGTCAGATGAGTATCATTTCCTCCCCTCCATTCTCTGAGTTTACGCTTTCCGTGTTTGGACTGGCCAGTTGCCCTGAGATGCTCCCTAGTAGATTCCTGTCACTTAGGCCCCAAGCTGGGATAAGTCCCTGTTAGGTGGAGTGGGTCAACAAGTTACTGGGAATGGCACTTGCTGTATTTGAGGATATGACATGTGAAAATACTCATGTACTCTAAAATGCCTGTCACAGTAAAGTACTACCAAACAGGAAATAAAGATTACACAGAATAAAAGAAATCCACGAGACAGTACACACAGCAACTGGAGAAAACCATTAACTTTAAGCAAAAGTCACCCTGAAACAATTCAGCCACAGGCAAGTAAGGTCAGAAATGAATGAAAAGCTCTGTTTTCTTTTTAATAAGTGGGAATATAGTTACTGGGGCCTCTTTTAAGGAAAATTTAATTTCAATGGGTTGAAATTGGCACAAAAACTATGGATTTTTGAGGCAATATTTTTTTTTCTTGTGACCATTTAACTACAGTGTTTGGAAGTTGGAATAATTTCTATTTGGTGTAAAACAATGTATTATGACCTGTAAATTCATGAACAAGTAACTCAAGGCCTCATCTTACCTTTGCAAGGGACACTTTGCAGGTACTCAGCTATTTGAGAGGGAGTAAATGAGTTCAAGATCATTAAGAAATCCAGGTAGGCTTTCCCGTAGTCACTCTGGTAGATGGTCTGCTTCTTGGTGCAGTCCTGATTCTTTATGTGGCTGTATAGCACGGAAGGGACTAGGAAGACACCAGGGAAGAAAAGACACAAAGGTTGACACCAAGCAAGGCACTTATTGGCTGAGCACGCCCGGACAGCCCTGAGTCCAACCTGTCTAATTAATGGTGCTGGAACGGGAGGCATTGTGTGAGTGACTCAGCAGGCAGAGCGGCTGGGACTTAGCACTGTTGCTGTGGGAATGGGAGGAGCTGGAATTGATGACCAGAAGGTAGAGTTTGACCACTAATTTCAGAAAAGAAGTTTTCCCTGGAATCAACTTTTCTGCAGTCAGCATGTTAGGATGATAGCATTCACCTCCTGCTTCGTTTCCCTTTCATGCCATCTCCTGGGCAGACTGGGACTCACCCATAAAGAGGCCTCCACCAGGTGCCATAGGAGCAGCAGTTTGGAACAAGAATGGCATGTACAGTCAGCACTCATTGCACATTCAGACTAATGAAGGTGTGAGGTGAAGGCCACTTACATTTGATTCTGAACATTGCTCATTGAATGTAAGTTCTAGTAGTCATGGAGTTACCATAAATAAATAAATAAATAAATAAATAAATAAATAAATAAATGCAATTAAGATGATATGAGAATCTGTCCACAATTTGTCCAATCTTTGTAAACCAGAACAACTTAAGTACTGCTTCAGTTCCAAGTTGCCTCCTTGAAATGAACCATTGGCCAGATGAAGGGACTGGGTAGGTGAGGGGATTGGACACCACATCTGAGAAGTATTTTTAGGTTCTGAAAATGCTTTTAGTGCAGGAGACTTAGAAGCCATGTATTAAGGTTTTCATAGAACAATAGATTTATACTCTGTGGGAAGAAGAACAATTTGCTAGAAGTTGAGCAAGGAAGATTCTAACTGTTCAGAGCTTTCAAACAGTTAAAATATCTAAGAATAAAGGCACTCCTTGGGAATGAGTACTCCTCTGAAGAGTCTGAGCAGGGATGATATCACCGCTTGGCAAGTATGATTTAGCAATGACTCACATAGGAAGGGAGAATCTAGAACAAGTCACTTCTCCGCTACCTTCCAACCCCAGATGCTGAGCGTCTGTTCTGTGATTTCTGTGTAAAGTACTCCTTGGTCCCAATTTTATGCCAGGCATAAATCACTATCTCAAAGTGACACTCTGTTCTCAACCAACAGCGTGGAGGTGGCTGGGTCACGGAACTTTTTCTGTTAAAAGCAATAGAAATCTCAGTCACATACACACACACCTCTTAAATATGAAGATGCTTGTGGGTGTGTGCCTTGTGGATAAACTTTCAGTGAATAACTGACCAAACAATTTTGCTATAAATTTATAGAAACTGAATCCTTCCTTTCATATTCTAATGGAAGGAGATGTCCCCCAATCCTAACACCTGTCCCTCCCAGGCTGAGGATGCACTCTTCTCTTGGAATAAGCAGCAATTTCTCTTTGAAACTTACTCATTTCCTGAATTTGAGGTGAGGCACTGTGGAGGCGTAGTTTTAATTCCATGCAGGGATTACTGGCATTCTCTGAGACTCTTATTAAGATTAAGAGGAATCTTTAAGTAAGAGCATAACATCTATGAAGTTGCTTAATTTTTGTTTTTTGTTGTTTGTTTGTTTTTTTGTTAGCAGAAGCAAACTTTAGTGATAGATGGACTCCCCCTAGCAGGGAGAGGATCCAAGTAGATTGCCCTAAAATTGCTTGAAAACTATAGATGAGCCCTAGTTGGTTTGGCTCAGTGGATAGAGCATCACCCACAGACTGAAAGGTCACGGGTTTGATTATGGTCAAGGGCATGTACCTTGGTTGCAGGCTCAATCCCAGGCCCCAGTCAGAGTGCATGAAAAAGGCAACCAATTAATGTGTCTCTCTCACATCAATGTTTCTCTTTCTGTGTCTCTCCCCCTCCCTTCCACTCTCTCTAAAATTTAATGGAAAAATGTCCTCGGGTGAGTATTAACAATAACAAGAACAAAAGTGAAAGCAGATGAGAAGTAAAAATTTTTTAAAAGCTACATGTGAAAAATAAAACAAATAAAAGCTACAAGTGCACTTACCTAGGCCCTGGGAAGCGATTGGTAGCCTTGAGTAGCCTCCATATTTGAAAGTAAAATCCTGAAACTCAGGAATTTTAGCTGGAACTTGGTAATTCCGTCGAAATTCAGTGTCTGTGGGATGGGAAAGTAACTTTTTCCATTCCAGAAACATATGAGAACTTTGCTTAATCTTCTGAGCTGGGGTGGGGTTGGAAACGAAAGGTAATGATCACTCCTACTCATAGTTATTTCTAAATAGCGTCATATTCTCATCCCATTTAGCCTCTGGCAGCAGCTTCCACTTCATCACACTAAAGCTCACTCTTTTTATATTTTTAGTGGTATGGTCCATTTCAACCAAGAAATTATGTTCTGCTTTATCAGGCACAGGAAGTATATGCTCAAGTGATTAGAAACAGCTTCTAATGAATACTTGTTTTGTTGGTGAGGAGTGCTCTTTGTTCTCAAGAGGCATTCCTCACTCCAGCAGGCCTGCCTTGTCCTTGTGGCAGGGTTAGGGAGCAGGAGAGGTGTTTTAGATAGGGCTAGGATTGCCATATAAAGCATAGGATGCCAGCTAAATTTTAATTTCAAATAATGTATAATTTTTAGTGTAACATTAGATAAGTACTCTATTTATCTACTTTATATCATTCAAATTTAACTGGACATCTTGTATTTTCATTTGCTGCACCTGAGAGCCCTAGATGGAGCATTGCATATCATCCCCATTACCTGGAAAGAACCACTCAAAGCTTATCCCTTACTGATGGAGGGTTAGGTAACATCATTGTTGTTAGTGGACAATACCACTATTATTTCTTTGAAATAACTCTGCTAACAAATATTTTATAATCATTATCTATAATCATTAAATATTTATTAAGCACTAATTGAATGCTAGGTTCCATAAGCACTCGACCAGATTCTAGAGATGGTCATAACCATCTCACTTAGATGAGTTCACCTTTAATTCTTGCTACAAAATGTTAGTTCAGATGTACATATCCCCAACTTTATTCAGGAAAAAGGTTAAAACCATAGATGTCACAAGCATTGTCCAAAGAGTGTCAATTACTATTGAAACTAACGTCAATTCTTGTTCCCAATTAGTTGTTTTTTATGTCTCCTTCTCTCCTCCCCCCCTCCCGGCCAACTGATCACCACCCCTGCCACTCTCATCCCTCAGGATAAGCCCCCACCACCCCAGTGTCTGTGTCCGTTGGTTATGCTAATATGCATGCATACAAGCCCTTCGGTTGATCTCTAATCCCTTCCCCCTATCTTCTCTCTGAGGTTTTTCAATAGATCTTTTCAAAATACATTCAAATGTACATTGTACATCATACATATGTGATGTCATCTACTGGCACCCAGGAGCATTTTATTATTGATTTTTAAAAAATTATCTCTGTATAGATCAGCATGCATTTAATTTGTATGACTCAGGAAGAGAGGATGTGGGTGGGTACTCAATGATCCTCATAATGAACCTATAAGTTGCCTTAGGAGAATACAAGGTTATAGAGAGGAGGAAACTCTAGAGCTCAAAATCAGAGATCCTTAAAATATTTTAGAAAATCATCTGGCACTGTTCCTAACACCATCTATAACTTGGCTTTTATAAATTACTAAGAGCTTCATAGGAGAAAAACAAATTCCTGTCAAAATACTTGATGTTTCTACTCAAAAGCAAATGTGTTTAATTCCTATATGTGTTCCGTGCCAAGGTTAGAGATAATTAAGCCAATGTTCTACCTTAAGATAACCTCAAATAAGTATGATTAAAAAGATAGATACAGTACAAACACATGTGGATTGTGATGTCTTGCAAGCATAACACTTAGAACAATAATTATCACATGGAGATCATGCATCAGAAATAATTGGGATGATTTTTCCAAATTATATCTGTTGAACCTCATCCCAGACATTGAGAATCTCTAGCACAAGGGAACCAGGCACTTAGTATATTGTGAATAATCTTCTCATATGATTAAGAATCACTGATTCAGAGCCTTGAATAGGTGCTACAGAAGCCCAGAGAAAGTGTAATGAGCTCTATTATTGAAAGGGAAGGAAGATGAGAATTAAAAGGCAGACATAATAAAAGGAGTGTTTGACAAAGAACCAAGACTGAAGCAAAAAGTGCAGTGTGTTCATAAAATGTAGTCTGTCGGCTGGGAGTGGAAGGTGTGCAGGGTGGAGAAAAGCAGCTGAGGGGGAAGCAGGAGAGATAAGTTAGGAACCAGGCTCTGAAGGTTCTGGAGGGCTTAGTCTATGTAGACCAGGATGGACCAACACAGAAGTAGAGCAATTGGTGATGAAGACCCAGAAAATACAATAATTGGGGCTGAGACGTACTCAGAGTTTCTTTGAAGAAAAAGATTAAGTTATATTCTTTATTGATCCTTAGTACTTTTTACAGTAATAGACCTCATTGAATATTTACTAAGTTAATGAGTGAACAAAAGAAAAATTAGAACATAATTGCTATCGATTAGCAATTAATCTGAAACAAACACGAGTGACTGCTTATGTAATAAATGCATAAAATAATTCTCAGATATTAATTCTCAAAGAATGCTTTCATTGCCTTTATAAATGATTTTCTTCAGCATTATTAAGAAGAGAAGTTCCTGATATAAAGGGGCCTAACTAACACCTGAATTCCCTATAGTGATAACTGAGGTATGTACAGACAAGACATCCTGGCCCAAAGCTAACCACCCCTCCAAGGCCAGGATCATCCCTCTCCTCAGGAGCTCAGGTCCCACTCGTTTCTTTTCCACTTGATAATGGTAACAAATACTACATCACTTAGAGCCCAAAGAGAGAAACTGGTCCCTTTAAGATTAGGTGTGGCACCTGTTGAAAGATCCAATCCAAAAGTGAACCTACAGCAAGGACCATTTAAAACCACTAGCACATAATCTATAGCCAAGTGAGAACCAATTCTGTTGCTTTTATTTGCTATTCTAAGTCATCTAACCAGAGTTCTCCAAGCCTGAATTTTTTGAGGGAAAAGTACTTTTTAGTGATTCTTACTTGTTTACCATAATTTAATTATGAGTACACTCAGGTAATTTGTGATCCCTGAGCTTCCAAAACTTAAATTATTGCATGAGAGAAACAAATACCAAAAAAGAGAGATAATTACAATACTATGTGAAAAATGCTGTAGAAGAGGAATTATAATAACATATGGGAGAGCCATTGATCCAAACTTGGGGGATGAGAGAAGATTCTTGGGAGAAAAATCAGCTTGCATTTAGACCTAAATGGTGAATGGACATGGGCTAAAAGAAGAAAGGGAGAGGCAGTTCACAGAGAAGCAACAGTGTGTTTGAGGTGGAAGGCTTGGTGAGTCTGCTGGATGGAAAGTGATCACATAGTGTGGGGACTGGTGAGGGGAAATGCTGGAGCAGAGGGCAAGGACCAGATTGCACAGGACCCTGATGACAATGGGGAGTCATTGAAGGATGTTAAAATAGAAAATGGTATAATTTATACTCACTTTGACTTTAGGATTGAAAATGAACTAGAGGGGACAAAACCAGAAACGTGAGTTGGATTAGAGGTCATTCAAGGGAGAGATATTGGTAACCTGAACTAAGGCGGTGGCTATGGGAGAGAGAGAAAAGCAAATGGAATTAAGAAATTTGGCGGGTGTCTTGACAAGTCTTTAGCATTTATTTACATAAGAACACATGGTAATGTGTGCATACTGAAAGGACAGCTTTGATTGGAAGCCCAAAGACATTTTTAAAAGAATTCTGACATTTCAAATGCTTTTCCATGACCCTTAATACTTATCTGCAATATGGAGATATTTTATTTTCTTCCTAACCAGAAATATATATAATGTAAACTTGAACCAAAGAAGTTCTGGTTTCCGGTATACCAGTAACAGGAGAAGGGTGTAGGGAGATTCTGGACCAGAGAAAAAGGAGGGATTTAGGAAGAGTATGCACAACAAGCAGGAAGCTCTCAGCCCCCTGCCCAGTACTGCTCTTAGAATACCAATAACAATGTTTGCCTTTCTGGAAAAAATGGCTGATCTACAAATATTGGCATTGGGGGTTTCCCAACAATAGAGAGCTCGCCACCTAAGTTAAGCACCAACCAACAAGCCCCATCTCCAATCATATTTGAGTACCACCCTTGTAGATTTTGTGAACCCTGTAGCTTAATATTTTAAGTAAATACAATTTAAGAAAAAAAGTCCACAAAAGTGAGACTTAAGTTTTATTAGCTTCATAATAAATCTACCTTCATTCCCTTATAAATATGAACAAAAAGCCCTTAGATTTTCACTAGACCATTAAGAAACAGAGAAAAATAGATATTAAACAAAGAACAGATAAAAGTGCTAAAAAGTATATCATAAATATCCTAAAATTTATGAGAATTGCTGCACCATAAAACAAAAATAGCATATTATTTTTAGAAAATAATCAGAGAGGAGAAGAAAGAGAGCTTAGAAATTTAAAACATAAAGATTTGGATTAAAAAGTTGCTGAAACTGGTTTGATTCAATGGATCGAGCATCGGCTTGGGGACTGAAGGGACCAGGGTTCGATTCTGGTCAAGAGCATGTACCTTGGTTGTGGGCATATCTCCAGTATGGGGTGTGCAAGAGGCAGCTAATCTATGACTCTTATCGATGTTTCTAACTCTCTATCTCTCTCCCTTCCTCTCTGTACAAAATCAATAAAATATATTTTTTTTAAAAAAGTAAACAAACATTTTAATTAAACATGATAAAAATACAAAGAGAAAGATACTAGGAGAGGAAATTAAGAAAATTGAAGGATCAAACCAACTCATAGGAGTCCCAGAAGAGAACAGAAAAAAGAAATGGGAGAAAAATAGGGGAAAAGTATATGGGAACAATTTCTAAAATCAAAGGTCATAAGTCTCGAGATTAAAAAACCTCTGATTGTTCAACATAATAAATGATATTCTCATTAGTGCATGAGAACATGAAATTTTACAGTATCTGGAATTAAGAGAAGATCATAAAAACTTCCAGGAAAATATATGAAAGAATCAGGAATCAAAATGACATCAGTCTGTTACATAACAGTCCATGGTGCTAAAAATCATTTGAGGGACTTGAGGGAAAATGATTATCATCTTAGAATTCTATACTCAGACAAACTATCAACAAATATAATGAAAGAAAAAAAGATATTTTCATATTGTTCCTCCTACATCATCTGTAATAGTAAGCTACTAGAAGATGTGTTTTAACAAAATGAGGGAGGGCGTGTATGTGGACTCAGGAAATGAGATTCAGGGCAGGAAGAGAGTAAAGAAATGCCCAAAAAATGAAAAAGTACCAGCTCATAGTTGGGTGGCAAATTTACAGAGCAATTCTTCTAGGTTAGAGGACATGGAAGGTATCAGCTCTCGAGTAAAATATCAAACTGATACAATGTCTGGAACTTTATTTGGGGAAAATCTTGGTAAATGTGTGACAAAGTATTTGAAAAAAATTAGTGACAGGTACATAGAAAACTAAACAAAATTTTAAAAAAGGTTATTAATTCTTGTAGAAAAAAGTAAAAAGAAACATAATCATAAAATAACACCTGGTTCAGTGGTAAATATTATAACATATCATATTATAATCATAATATAACATCTAACATGTTAATTAACCAAAATTTTATAATATAATTATTTTGAGAAGATGGATGGAGGAAGAGTGAGGAAGAGTTATAGGAGAGACTAATCCTCAACTGCCATACAGGAAAGTAAATAATAATGTCTAAAGTTGATGGACCAAAAAATAGCAGTATGAACACAGTATTTTAAAATACAGAGGATGACATAAGAAAAAAACAATTGAATGACTGAAAATCATTATCAATGTGTAGTAGGACTGGGTATGGAGGGATGGGTAAAGAAACTGCTGCTGTTCATTATGAGCTTGTAGGGAACTATCTTTAAGTGTATGCATGAACTCGTTTAATAAAAGTTCTAATTTTAAAGAATAGTAAATAAGCAGCTCAGAATTGAAAATAGGATGTTTAACTTAACACCTTCATCTTCATCTGGCTACTTGTCTTTGTCTTTCAACCCAAGAAGCCTTTCCTGGACTCGCTCCCCAGGTCAAGCTAAATGTCCCATTGTTCACACCTACAGCATCCAGCACCTCTCACAACTTGCTGCATTTTATACTTGACCGTCTCTGTTGGTAAATTGCAGTTTTCCCATGTTTATCCTGTGAGTTACTTGACTAAAGAGACAACTGGGACTCCAGTCCATAGTGCATTAGCAGTAAAGAAGAGAAATGGGAACACTTACCTTCAGCTCTGTCCACAAAGTCTCTCCTAGTATGGGATATAAACTGATTAGATACAGCTTTCCTGACCTTGTCCATGGAAGCAGCGATTTTCCAAGGGAAGTAACTCTTCACTGTTGTTGAGTGAAATGGAGGTAGCGTCCAATGAAAGAAGTCCTATCAATAAAAACACAATTTTGTCCACAAAGTCTCTCCTAGTAGAGGAAGTAAACTGATTTGATACAACTTTCCTGACCTCACCCACCAAAGCAGCAATTTTCCAGGGGAGGTGGCTCTTCACTGGTGTTGAGTGACTTGGAGGTAGAGTCCAGTGAAAGACGTTCTATGAATAAAAACACAATTTTCAAGAAAATCCATATAGTTTCACCTAGTGGTTCGTGTGTTCATGCATGTGTGTACATATTCTTATAAGTCTTCTCATGTTCAGCTAGATGTCCCATTGTGCCTGGCCACAGGAAGCACCCATTTATAAAGCTATCAGTTTACACAGGTAAACTTTATCATTTCCTTAACTTTTATGTTAATGAAAAATATATCATTGCAAAGTCCAAAGAACTGTGCCTCCAACTAGAAATATTCAGACAAGAGCAAAGGAAGAGAAGCCCATGCACTTTAGCTCTGGCCACAGGTAAGGCAGCTGCTGTTTTGCCTTGGGAGCTCCAAGTCTTCTCTCCTATTTCTCTCCAAAGAGATTTATGATTATAAAACTTAGAACTTACCCTACCTCTTTCTGTCTTCCCTCTCTTCCCTTTTGCTTCCTATTCCCCTGAGAAAATAGAAGCCAACAAAGAGAACTTACACAGCATACCACTTCACCTGCCAGCTACTACATCTGTGTTGGCAGAGTTGCTGGGTCACCCAAACAGAACCTGACCCGACCTGGTACCCTAAAGCCTGCATTTAGTCTATGCCAGCACATTACCCAACAATTCTCACCTCTCTCTTGCAACTTCCATTCCTCCCTCTCTCCTGGGAGGTTATCATCAATATCCAAGCTGCTTTTATTTCTCCTATATTAAAAAGAAAACTCTCTCTTTGTCCTATTTCTCTTCTAGTTACTAAAATATTTCTCAGTTTGCCTTTACACTGAAATCCCTCAAAATATAAGGGATACCTACTGTCCCTTGTCAAATTTGTCTTTCAAGTCTCTTTTAATATTCAAGTTCCCTCTCCATCCCCTTTTTTCCCTTATAATTTCCCTATGTAAATTTCATTTTAATTTCCTCATTTTAAAATGAGGGCAAAGGTAAGAAGTAGTTAGAAAAAAATGTGAAAAGGTGGACAAAATAGTCTAAGAAGGACCATAACTGTAGATGATGAAGCATCTTTGTGATATATTCAAACTCTCAATATTAAATAGATATGTAGGTATTATCTTACTTGACTGGAGTGAGAATTGTGACTCCCAATATCCCTTGGAGTCCTAAATTTGAAAAAATCTTCTTTAGAATGTAGCTTCCAAATATACTCATCATTGTATTGTGTCCGATTGTGAAGAGAATCGCTAAGTGAATATGTATATCCTAATCTTCGGATACCTTTTTGACTACAAGAAAAGATAGTGTAAATTAGAGTAAGGGATTAACTAAAAAGTCTCACAATAGCACACATCAAATGATTTTAGTTGTTACATATTTTTTTAAAAGATTGGCTGGCTTAAGACTCGGTGCCAAAAAGTAAAAAGTAATTATTGGACATCAGAAATGGTGGTGTGAGAAAGCCCCTTGCCCTCTCTTCCTAAAATTTCAACAAGTTAACCAACTATAATTCAACAAGAAATCCCTTCTAAACACAGACACACTTCTGAGAGACCCATGCATTGAAACATCTAAGGTGGGCAACTGGAAATAAATGGGAGATAAGAAGGAAGGAAGGCAAAGACAGCCCACAGATGCAACCCTGCAGCCTAATGGCTCAGCTGGCCAGGAGAGGGTAGAAATCTGGCAGCAGCAGGAGCTTCCTTTGCCAGGAGGAACAGAGAGCTGCAGAGGGACAGCCCAGCAGGATAAGCATAGAAGGAGCAAACAATGACTGAATTAACAGATGCCTGAAAGAGAATGGGATTCCACTGTGCACCTCTTTACTACACTATCAATCAGGACAGAGGTGGTGTTTCAGACAAAGAAATGGAACCACAGAGTCCTGCCACTGCTTGGACTCCCTGTTGCCCTTGTAGTTGGGTCCAGGAGCATATTATCTGTAAACCAAGAACTATTACAGTAGAATGGCTATTTCCCCCTGTGACTGATCCCCAGGAGGAGAACTTGGGGTGGGATCCCATGGAGGTCAGGGGTTGCCATTAGAGTGAGAGCAAAACAAACCCCATCCCCAAGCAGTGCAGCTGTACTGTCTTATAGAATCCACAGATATTCAGGACTGGGAGATCAGAATGGTAAAACATATTGTGATTCAGTGCCATTTACTAGAAATAGTAGAAGGAACTCTTCAGAGATAAATGCATAGGCAAAGGAGGACAGCAAATACCAAGGATTACCTCAGTACTATGATGACCAGAAAGAAAATGAACAATCTCCAGAAAACAAACTGAAACACATGGAAATATGTGATATAAATGATAGAGAATTCAAATTGCAGTTCTGAAAATACTTAACAATATGCAAAAAAAAAAAAAAAATACCACAGACAGGCAATTCAATGCCCTCAGGAAATAAATCAATGAACAAAATGAAAACTTTACCAAAAATATTAAAACTTTAAAAAAGAACCAATCAGAAATCCTGGAAATGAAGCATGAAATTAAGGAGATTAAGAATAAACCACTGAGCATAGAAAACAGAGCTAACCAGGTGGAGGAAAGAATTAGTGATATTGAAGATAGTAATCTAGAAATGAGAACTATCTGACTCCATCCAAAAAAAATAATAATAATCAGTACTATAATTATAGCCATTGCAGAGGACGAGGAGAGAGAGCATGGAACAGAGAGTCTATTCAAATAAATAGTGAATGAGAACTTCCCAAACCTATGGAAAGAATTAGGTACTTGAATTTAAGAAGCAAACAGAGCAGAGCCTTTTTGGGTTACTTCAACTTCCAAAGGCCCTTTTCAACCCAAAAGGCCCTCTTCAAGACACTTCGTATTAAAGCTGTCAAAAATTAATAACAAATTTTTTTTTTTTATCAAATCAGCTAAGGAAATGAAGGAAAACTCATCAGAATTTCATCTGACATCTCAGCAGAAACTGCACAAGCCAGAAGGGAGTGGGACAAAATATTCAAACATCTAAAAGAGAGAAATTATTTGCCATGAATAATATATCCAGTAAAATTATCCTTTAAGTATGAAGGAGAAATAAAAATATTCCCAGACATATAGCAGCTGAGGGATTTAATAACCAGAAAACCTCCATTGCAAAAATACTTAAGGAAGTTACCCTCCTGAAACAAAGAACATAGGTCACAATACTACAAGTAAGAGCACCAAAAACGTACAGCATATGTAGGGATAATTTGTGACAACAAAAACACTAAAGGGGAGGAGGTAAAGATCTGAATTGGCAAATGCAGATAAAGATCAAATGCACTCATAGGTTTAAAAAAAAAAAAAAGCTATGGTATAGATGCAAGTTTATTTTTTATAAACCTAATGATAACCATACAAAAAAAACCCCAAACCACAACACATAGCTTTTTAAAAAAAGAGGAAATAAGTATGAAATACCACCAAACAAAAACAACAGACCAAAATACAAAGGAAAAGAACCAATGGAGGCACAGAGCTAACAGAAAACAAGAGAAAAAATAGCTATAGAAAATCCTCATACATCAATAATTACACTAAATATAAATGGCCTGAATTCACTAATAAAGAGACATAGAGTAGCAGAGTGGACCAAAAAACAAAACTCAACCATATTCTGCCTATAAGAGACACATCTAAGCTGCAAAGACCAAGGTAGATTTAAAGTAAAAGGGTGGAAAATGACTCTCCAAGAAAATAGCATTCATAGAAAAACAGGTGTAGTCCTACTTATATCTAACAAAATAGATTTCAAGATAACAAAGATAATGAGAGACAAAGATGGATACTTTATAATGATAAAAGGGATACTACATCAAGAAAACATAACACTGGTTAATATATATCCACCCAACCAAGGAGCACTGAAATATATAAAACAGCTACTCACAGAATTAAAGGGAGAAACAGATCAAAACACAACCATAGTTGGGGATCTTAATACTCCATTGACAGCTCTAGACAGGTCAACCAAACAGATAATCAATAAAGAAATATCACCTAAAATAAAACACTAGACCAAATGAACATAATTGATGTTTATAGAACCTTTGTCCAGGAACATCAGATTATACATTCTTCTTCATTGCACATGGAACATTCTCAAGGATAGATTATAAATTGGGTCATAAAACTAGAATCAAAAAATGTAAGAAAATTGAAATTATGCCAAGTATATTCTCTGACCACAATGCTTTGAAATTGGAAATCAATTGCATAAAGGAGGTACAAATACATGAAGATTAAACAAAATACTACTAAAAATGACTGGGTCCATTAAGAAATAAATGAGATAAAAAGATGTAGAGAGAAATAACAATGACAATACAACATATCAAAGCTTATGTGATGCAGCAAAATCGGTAATAAGAAGGAAGTTTATATCATTACAGGCCTTTCTCAAGAAACAAGATACTCCCCAAGTAAACAAACAAACACACAAACATCAGATCACATTTTAAAGGATTAGAGAAAAGACAATAAAAGAAACCTAAACACAGCAGAAGAATGAAAATAATAAAAATTAGAGGTGTACTAAATGAAATAGAGAACAAGACGACTAAAAATTAATAAAGCAAAGAGCTGGTTCTTTGAAAAGATAAAATTGACAAACCCCTAGCTAGACTCAATAGGGGGAAAAAAGGGAAAAGACACATATAAATAAAAACAGAAATGAGAGAGAATAACACAGATAACACAGATAAACAAAGGATCATAATCTAGAAGAAATGGATAAGTTCCTAGAATTATATAACCTTCCTAGTCTAAATCATAAAGAATTGGAAACTCTAAAGAGACCAAGCAGTAGTGAGGAAATCAAAACAACCATCAACGACTTCTTAAAAAGCAAAGTCCTGGACCAGGTGGCTTCACCAGTGAATTCTACCAAACTTTCAAAAAATTAAAAACCTATCCATCTCAAATTCATCTAAAAAATTGAAGAACAGGAAATACTTCTTAACAGATTCTATGAGGTCAACACAATCCTGAAATCAAAACCTGGAAAAGATAACACAAAGAAAGAAACCACAGACCAATATCTCTGATAAATATAGATGCAAAATTTCTTAAAAAAAAAAAAATACTAGCAAATTGAGTATGAAAGAACATAAAAAGAAAATAACAACAATACATTACAATCAAATGGGGTTCATTTCATGGGAACAAGGATGATTTAACATGCACAAATCAATCAACACCACATTAACAAAAGTATAAAAATCATCTCATCTTAACAATAGATATAGAAAAAGCATTTGATATGATACAACATACATTTATGATTTAAAAAATTAAATAAAATATGAATTGAAGGAAAGTATTTCAACATAATAAAGGCCATATATAATAAATCCTCAGCTAATGGCAGAAAAATGAAAGGTTTTTCTCTAAGAACAGGAACAAGAGAAGATGACCACTCTCACCACTCTTATTCACCACAGTGCTGGAAATCCTATTCAGAGCAATAAGGTAAAGGAAAGAAAAAAAATGCACACAAATAAAAGAGGAAGAAGCAAAACTATCACTTTTTTTCAGGTGAGTATTCTATATATAGAAAGCCCTAAAGATTCCACCAAAAAACTATTGGAAAGAATAAATACAGTCAGTTGCAAAATACAAAATCAATATGCAAAAATTCATTGCCTTCTTGTATACTAACAATAAAACTTCAGAAAAAGAAATGAAAAAATATCCTTTTGCAATTGCAACCAAAATAATAAAATGCCTAGAAATAAATGTAACAAAGAACATGAAAGACATATACACTGAAAATTACAAAGCATTCTTAAAATGGATTAAAAAACACACACATAGAAACCATGCCATTTTGAAGGGAAGAGCTACTGTGATTAGGAGCCCAGCCTCAACAACACCCAGACTGGCCTTATACACCACCTGGGATCCTACAGCCACTCTGGCTAAAGACCTGCTACCTCAGTTGCAGACCCATGGACACCGAGACACCAGCCTCCCTGGCTGCAGGCTTCTCTTGAGTACTAGAGGGTGCAATACTCCCGCCGGCACACCACTGCTGCCACAATCCCCGCATGTCCCAGTGCCTGAGCACTCTGATGACTCTTGGGGTGTGCAATCTACCTGCCAACCTGCTGCTGCCACCTCATTCCACACATGTCCCAGCACCTGGGCACTCTGGTGAATTTCAGGGTACACAACCCTCCTGCTGCTGTGGACGCAGGTGCTGTATGTCCTGATGACTGGGCTCTCCACTGACTCTCAGGATGTGCAACCCTCCTGCCAACCAGATTTTTGGCCAGGGGCCCCCC